CTGTGGGTCATGCCAAAGGCCACGGTCATTTCGGTCAGCTGTGTCAGGTTGAGGTTAGGGCAAGCGAAGTGACTGAACGAACATCAACCTTAGCATACCTCCGTTACTATTGAAACCTCTCATTTTACCGTGCACTGAAAGGTACTGCATTTCGACAGACAGACGGTGTGGCGATGGGTAGCCCCCTTGGTCTTATCCCGACTGACATTTTCATGGGCATGATTGAAGCACGGATGGATGGGGCAATCAAGGGAAGATTTTTCTATAAATGATACGTGGATGATGTGTTCCTCATCTTCAATCACCCTCACGATATTGCTGTATTGACCGGTGAATTGAACGCAGCACACCCAAACTTGAAATTCACCTGTGAAGCGGAGAAGGCAAATTCCTTGGCTTTCCTTAATATCCTTAAAAACCCAAGTAACCAGTAAAAGTGACGATCTATCTTCCGCGAGAAGACTTGGTCCGGGCAATACCTTCACTTCAACAGTTTCTCACCAATGGAACATAAGAAAGAGAGCCCTGATTCGAACGTTATATGTACAGAGGACACAATACTAAGTGAACAGGAGAATATCTATAGCGCATTACGGGTAAATGGTTATCCGGAATCTTTCGTTCGTTTTCATAGTCGGACAGAAAACCGGACTCAAGCCACTACCCATCGGGTGCATAAAAAGAATATCCATATCTCGTTGCCATACAAAGGGTATTGAACAATGCGGCGTATCAAAAACGCGTTACAAAGAACATACTACGCTGCCACATTAAGACTCCATCCGATCACATGGCGCCTCCCCTCCCGCATTCAAGTGCCGTCGTCCATTCGAGTTTATCTCTCATTGCATTTACGCCTTCTGTTACAGCTGCAACGAAGCATACATTGGTAGAACCGACCGATCATTGCGAACTGCAATGGCTGAACACATCCCTTGTATTTGCCTGTTTATCCTCTGACTTGCCTGTTCAAATTCCTTACGGGATCCAAATGTTTCAGTTTCGAATTTTGGTGCCGTATGCAAAAGTCCGGCGCAACAACCCAATCAACCCTATTTATGATTGCAACTTGTCGCGCCCTTTATTATATATTGAAGAAACTGGCGTTTCCGGATGCTCCGGCTAAATTACCGTACAAAGCCATCTGCTGCCCGCAGAGTTTCAAGCACATGGTAGGGCCCAATTCAATTCCATGATTCGTGTCGACCATGTTTCCTGCCGTGAGTTTATTCTGCAGCTGAACAAACCGGCTTCACGCTGCAACTATTGTCATCTTGTGAAAGACCAACTGTTAGCCGCTTACCTGCAATTATCAACAATCTGACCCTCCAACGGAAGCTGCTGTAGAAGAAGGGTTTAACTTTTGCCGAGGCCCGCGAGCTTACCATCTGCGCTCCAACTGCCGGTTCAGCAATGCCAAGTGTTATTCGTGCGGGAAAACGAGCCATATTCGGAGGGTATTGTTA